AGAACATCATTTCTATCATCACCATTTGGAGATACCACGTGACTCTCGACCTTTTTTCAGTTTTAGCACCACTAATTTTGATATCCAGACTTGCATAGCTAAGAAGTAAATGCACCATCCCTACTTCACCACATAAAAATCCTTCGAGGATTTCAATGAAGATCTTCACGAATTATAGTATCGAAGGTTGATGTCATATCAAGTTATGTTATAAATACCTTTATGCTTTCATCCTGCATTTCGTGGCGTTTCGTCTATGAGCTTTAACAGTATCACATTTGCTAAACCAGTATCACGGTATGCACTCTGAGATTCCACTAGATATATTTCATAGCTCGGTTTAATTCTATCGAGGATGATGTTAGAGAGTATCTTTCGAATGAGTAAAAAGAGATTAACAAGTTTTTGTAATTCGGCAAAGCGTACCAATGCCAGGGTCTTAATGCTAATGACTTTAAGTATTAAGTATTTCTTGTGAAGAATGATGGCGCTGCCTTGGGGGCATATTTTCCTAATTCTGTTAGTACTCTATCAGTAGGGTAGGTTGATTCTTCACTGTTTTCAGAAAATCAACATTGCATTCGATATAAAAGCTGAGATTTTGATGTGATACGTACTAACAACAAAAATTAGATTCGTTGCCTTTACAAATTTCTTAGCATTTAGCTTTAAAAATCGTTTGAAAAAAAATGTAGAAAAATACCTAATCTCTGCAAGTTTTGACTTACAAACTGACTTCAAAATTTTCTTATTTCAAGAATGAATCCAAATAAAGTTGATTTCTTTTGTATTTGATACATTGAATGGAAAATATATTCAAACAAGATTTCGAATTATGAATCACAAAAAGCGAAATATGCAATTTTTTTTATTGTATTCAATAAGTGAACTCTATAAAAATTTAAAAGAGGCTACTTAATGAATAAGATTTGTTAGATTATTTGTTAGATCATAATTAATAAAAAGAGGTACGGTGGAGTAGTGGATAGCGACTTGGATTGAGAAATCGAAGAGCCTTGGATGGCAACTGGTTTAGGAGAAGGACAACTCTGAAGGAGGGTCGTTTGGGGACCTTGTGGCCCGTAGTCTCTGTATTCGGTCCATCAAAAAGTGTAGTTAGTAGCACAAAAGCCTTCAACACTATAATCAAATCAAGGACAAATGACTCAGACGTGGGTTAGATCCAGTGACGACTCAGAGTTGTGAGTTCAATACCAGGCCACAGCAGTGGTAAATCAAAAGTTGAAGGGTCGAGTTAAAGGGAAATAACTGAGACATCCGAAAGAGGCATAGTACATGGAACTACAACAATCTACACCGGTGGACGAAATAACAGGGTCGGTTTGAAATTGCAATCATCCGAAGAAGGCCGGAGTGTACAACTGCCGAAACGTTGTGAATATGGCAGTGAAGATGAGGATAACAGTCCGAATAATGTGAATAATGTAAATAATGCAAGTAATCATAATAGCTGATCTCAATGATATAGACAGATATTTATTTTCTCTGTTGACGAAAAGTTTTGATGTATTTTATCATAAATTTAAATGCTATTTTGACCATATCGATGATGACGACTTTGTGGGTCGCTTACATATGTAAAGCTGATTGCAGTATTGTGTTGATAGGGCCTGTATATTTGTTAATTATTGGATATATTTAATTCATATATTCATTGGCTGAAAGGTCAAGGAATGTTGATAGAGTCAGGAATTTTACATCCAGACAGTTCCCAAAATAGTTCTATTCGTACAAATTCGCAAAAACATAATAAATAAACAAATATTGGATTAATGATGAATACTTAAATAAAAAAAAATATACGAATATATATATATATATATATATATATATATATATATATATATATATATATATATATATATATATTGCATGTATAATGGGCTGACACTTTGCTGAAGCGCGGTGCTCAGCTAAATATTGCAACCGTCTAGAGCACTTGATGTGTACATCTGTTCTATATATATATATATATATATATATATATATATATATATATATATATATATATAATAATGAACAACAGACACTTTAAGGTACCATAACATTAATTTATTTCACCAAAATACTTTTAAAAGGATTTTGGATCATCAAAATAACACTTCCAACAATGAAATGAGAGGAAAAATTTGATTAGAAATTGATGGGTAGTGTAATTTTTGTAATTAAACAGGGAGGGTGAAAGTGGCGGTTAAAGAGACAATACAAAATATAGTGAGGGTTAAATTTACATCTCTCTTAAATAAGCCTTAAATTACAAAAATTACACTACCCATCAATTTCTAATCAAATTTTTCCTCTCATTTCATTGTTGGAAGTGTTACCTGATGATCCAAAATCCTTTAAAAAGGATTTTGGTGAAATAAATTATTGTTATGGTACCTTAAAGTATCTGTTGTTCATTAAATATTGGCTCTGTTCTTCACATTGAGCTCTCAGGATTTCATCCTCTTTGGAATTAGCAATTCGGTTTACCAAATTCTTCATAACTTAAATATATATATATATTTATGTATATATAGATATATATATGTATGAAAATTTCTTCGATTTAACCAGTAGAGAAGACAATATTTATGAATAAAAATGTTACACTCATAAAAAAAAAAAAATAACTCACTCAGAAGGAAAATTCTGGAGAGTGCCGCCATAGAAAATTACCCAAATATTAATCTACGCCCAGGTTTTTTCCCCATTTCACCTTTCTTAACAAAATTACTTCTCTCACAAACAAATGTACACAACAGATTCATAAAATCAAAAGAAAATGGTTGAATACATCAACACAGATATAATGACAATATTCTCCAAACGCGACAAATACTGACGCTATTTTCAGTTAACAATATGAAAATAGCGTTTCTCTACATTCCAGTTGCTAGGAACATTCTGTTTTTGTTTTTATTAGTTACCTAGTTCAATTAATTTCATTTCGTATTTTGCTTTGATAAAGTCCAAGTCAGCAATTATTAGTTTTCCTATTGTCATTTTTATTCATATATATATATATATATATATATATATATATATATATATCGCATACATATTTTCAGGTTACATTACGTAAGCTATAGGATCATAGGGACATCACTTGTTCTTCAGCCATAGCTGCAGTGGCGTGTCTAGGGCAATAAAGTCTCATCAATTCCATTCCTCTTTAGGCTGGTTTTGAATTCAATTTTCCTTCTCCATGACTTGTTCCCATCTCAAGGCAACCCAGTCAGCTTTGCTATTTAACCCATAATTAGGAGGAGAAGAGATAGATTCATACCTTTCCTAAGGGTATTTGTGCAAAAGTGAACCTAACGAACTCAACTGGAATTCGAACTCGGGTCACCGATATCGCTTTCTGAGACGCCAACCGTTACACAAACTTGGCACAACTATTTTAGTGTTTTTTTTTTTTTAAACTGTAAGAGCACAGTAAATTCGACGGTACAGGGTAAAATAAAGTTTAATATACACCTTTACCATTTAGATTGACGCTTCATTAACATTTAAGAATCATAAAGATATCAATGAACATATTCAATTTATCTTCGACAGGATATATGTTTATCCAAACAGGTTCGCAAAAACATTTCATTGGAAATATGAATCATATAGTTCTCGCTTTTTAAAAGAATTATTTATAGTTACTTACGTAATTAAATTAAATTTAAATGAAAATGATATTTTTTTAGTAATAATTAACTTTAATAAAATGAGCGAAAATTCGATAAAATTAAAAAAAAAAAAATCTGTTGACCCACCACCTATTTTATATTCTTTTAGCTCTTGCCGTGTCTCTTCAAGACGTGGGCGATCCACAAGCTCCTATCCCTTACTGTTTTTAGTAATGTTTCTCTATTTACCATGCCTCCCGCTCCCCGTTCTGTACATAAGTTCGTTAGATAGATAGCCTGGTACATTTTTCTTGACCCTTTTACCTTCGAGAGATTCTTTGGGTGCCAAATCTTCCAATACCGCCTTCCTCGTTATGCGTCCCGAAATTTCAACTACTTGTTTCTTGTTTTGAGTATGCGTGTCTGTTTTGTTTCAATTTTCTTTAAGGTTTCCTCGTTACACTTCATATGCCTTATCCTTTCAAGAAATGGTGATCGTGGTTTTCCATGGCTACCTGTCTTTTGTTATTCTAAATAGTCCTTCCATTCTTTGTTGTTTCATGGTACTTGTTCTGCCATCGCCTGTCTTTAGACTATCAAGTAACTTACTTCTTATACTAACTTATATAATGTGACTTATGTAACTTATTTCCTGTTCCTTATGCCTTGTGAGTGATCCATTCTCCCAACCCTCGTTCTCCATTATATGCCCGCAAAAAAGTCTGATTAGCAGCAGTTTTTTTGTACTTTCTATATCTTGTAAAAGCTTCATTGTTTCTTACGTAATTTTTATATTATTGTCAGTATTTGTCAGTAAAATTCTGCCTCCGTCGTTTTAAGTGTCTCCTACACATTTAAGGTACAATAATCCCTCACGAACGCAGTGTAGAAAACTAACAGGTTATGGCATTCGCTTTATAAAATAGAATTTCAGCTTCCCCAGTCATAAAACATTGACCAACAACTTGGAACATACACACGTGCATTCTTTCTCCATATAAACGTATGTATGCTTGTGTGTCTGTGTGCATCTGTAGGACTAAAGACGTTGCTCAAACTATCTTTGGAACATTTTGGTACATTTATTACTTTTAGAATCAGATGTATGTTTGTATTTCGATGATTAAATGTTTTTATGAGAAGAAAAAAAATTTAAAGTAAATTTTGTAATTTTTTCTTCGAGTTCTTTGTTATTTGCAAAGATAACCTACAATTTGGCAGTGTTTGTTAGAAGCTTTTGAATAGATTCTGACATTGTTTAGCGACTTTCGTTCTTCGTGTTCAAATACACCGTTCTGAATTTCGCCTGTGAAATAAACGATTTCTTAAAAAAAGAAATGAAATAATCCAACAAAGAATGAGTCATTATAACCAATGAAACCACAAATTAATAAAACAAAAACATTCATCGCTCCTAATTCTCTCTGTATATCTATCTATCTATCTATCTATCTATCTATTTTTATTGCCTGTGATAGGTGTTTGAACTTAGGCAAAAAGTGGATTCAAATCTCTTACATCTTCTCCACTCTCTACATCAAAACACACCACCTCGCTCTGCTTATCTATCTATCTATCTATCTATCTATCTATCTATCTATCTATCTATTTTTATTGCCTGTGATAGGTGTTTGAACTTAGGCAAAAAGTGGATTCAAATCTCTTACATCTTCTCCACTCTCTACATCAAAACACACCACCTCGCTCTGCTTATCTATCTATCTATCTATCTATCTATCTATCTATCTATCTATCTATCTATCTATCTATCTATCTATTTTTATTGCCTGTGATAGGTGTTTGAACTTAGGCAAAAAGTGGATTCAAATTTCTTACATCTTCTCCACTGTCAACATCAAAACACACCACCTCGCTCTGCTTATCTATCTATCTATCTATCTATCTATCTATCTATCTATCTATCTCTATCTATCTATCTATTTTATTGCCTGTGATAGGTGTTTGAACTTAGGCAAAAAAGTGGATTCAAATTTCTTACATCTTCTCCACTGTCTACATCAAAACACGCCACCTCACTCTGCTTATCTATCTATCTATCTATCTATCTATCTATCTATCTATCTATCTATTTTTTTTATTGCCTGTGATAGGTGTTTGATCTTAGGCAAAAAGTGGATTCAAATTTCTTACATCTTCTCCACTGTCTACATCAAAACACATCACCTCGCTCTGCTTATCTATCTATCTATCTATCTATCTATCTATCTATCTATCTATCTATCTATCTATCTGGCGTTAGAGTTGAGACAGAAGACGGTTTTTAAGATTGTTACACCTCCTCTGACTACAGTAACAAAATTCTCCCTACGTTGATTTCAGTTAAGGCATCCACTCTCTAAAATCAGAAGAATTAGTGTTTTTTCCTCTCATTCATTATCTTTACATACGAACGTACACATACAAAAGCACACATACGCACGAACACACACACAAACACGCACACAGATGCGCACAAATTGGGAACACGTTAGTGCAATTATTTGAAGGAAACCAAAAATTAGATCACAGACTTGTACAATCCAAATATGAGGGGAAACAATATACGTATATACCCACGCGCGCGCGTGCACACACACACACACACACACACACACACACACACACACACACACACATATATATATATATATATATATATTAGAACAAATGATACAGCCGTAGTAAAACTATAATTGAAGTTTGAGTAAGCGGCTCTAGCGTTTTATTTATTTATTTTTGAATTGAAAATTCCGGTTTTCTACCTTGTTGTTTAGTCTATAGTTTGCTAAAAAGAGGGCGTAGAAAAATGTCTCCCACATCTAATAGAATTTGATGTTACAAAGTGAACGTTGTGAATTAGCTGAGAAGATGAGGTGAATTCTGTTAGCAAACTTTACTAGGAGCGTCTTTGTAGTCAACTACTGATAGCGTCTCAAACTGATAATATCTAAAAGATTGTGCTCTTTAATTATATCCACGTCTAGAAGGCAAGGAAGATGGCCTCGAAGTAATTTCTTAACATTTTCTGATGATTAGGTTAGCACCAAATTTACTCAATCGGAGTTGAACATCGAGGATTGGAAGTGGATTTCCGCTAAACGTTCTTATTGATCCTGTTCATAGATTTAAAGTTCACATTAGGTTACCAGTTGTTAAGACAACCCATCGTCAGTGTGACCTGCTATGTTAGTTATATAGCCATATTGTCATCAAGTTATATTTTATTATGAGGGGGTATTGAAAAATTAACGGCTTGACTCAATTTTAAAAATCTGACCAAATAAAAAAAAACACATTGTTTTGCATGACTTTTCGGCACGCCCTCGTATTCTGATCTTATTTTGTGTTTGCCCCCCCTGTAGTCTTGTATCAGCTGTGACGGTGTCATAATGGTCATCGAGAGAGAAGGTGTATCAGCCATTGCTGCCAATAAATAGTATTCGTATCTAATACTACTCACTAATGAAGCAAAAAAGTTTTAAAACTGCTGCTATGTACAACTGTCATTGGGTGTGGTCAGCATACATTTTATGTATGTATGTATGTATGTATGTATGTATGTATGTATGTATGTATGTATGTATGTATTGTATCGTCGCGGTGAATGATACACAGAGAAGAATGAGGACTTAGTATATTTATTCAGCACCAGTATCTGGTGCTAACGGATACATAAAAATAACACAGAACAATAAGTTACAAAACAATTAACAAGACAACTTACAAGGAATAAATGAGGGTCAAATGCTGTATAGCCAAACGAAGTAAAATCAGTCCGAATATTAATCAGCTTAGTATCAACTTATTAATCAACTGTTGAAGTCCTTAATCGTAGAATACTTAAGGCTATGAGCCAGGCCATCTGGTAGAGTGATGAAAGGGGTGCTAGCTACTCTATAACAGTAAGTCCTGTATACTCCCCAGGAGAATAAAGGGTCACAATTTCACCTCATTGCTCTCATTCAAAGTGGTGTGTCGTCTAGATTGGTTGCTAACCAAAGCTAGAGAATCTATTCTGCATTAAGACTCCCAGATGGATTATACGGCCAAAGCCACACCATGTTGAAACTTTGATTTCCGTAAGTTTTCGGGGATAGAATTGCCATATCGATTCTCTACCAGTTTTGAATTCAGAGTTGTCCTCCTCCTCGACAGGTCTCTCCGCCCCTCTCAGATGCCAGATATTACAGTCTGTTCTATTGTTAAACCCTAACTCGAGAGAGAGAGAGAGAGAGAGAGAGAGAGAGAGAGTTGGTGGATTCATACTTTCCTCAGAGTATTGGCGCAAAAACGACTGCAACGTCTTCGACTGGCGCACCAATCCAATTTTCTGCAACGATAACCGCTTGTTCATGAGGACAGCGTCACGAAAGGTGAAATGAGTTTGTCGGAAGTTTGTTGGTGCAAACGAACAAAGTGGTTGGTCGGGTGATGTCATTTAATCTAGAGTTAGATAATATCAGCCATATGCCTGAAATTAGAATGCTGGCTTACTATGTTTTCTCCGTCCTCTTATAAGGCGGTGCATGCCGGAGCTCCGCCACCCCGCATCCTACAGATGTGGAGAAAACTGGAGACAGCGGAAATACAGTTCTACAGAAGGAAGTCATAAAGAAAACAGCAATAAAAAGAACACTTATACTCAGAACCAGGAAAAGTCAGCTGAAATACCTTGGACATATTGAGGAAGGAGGGCTTGGAAAATTTAACTTTCACAGGATATATTAAGAGGAGGTTAAATGAGGGAAGGCAGCGGGACACTTACTCGACGAGCTTGTATGAATTGTATGAATAGATGACTGGAACCTTAGCAAAGGGATACCAACTGTCGGTATGGGAAGTTGTGGATAGTCATGATCATCTATGTCCTGAAGAGACGCGAAAAATAAAAGAAAATGAAGGTGAAATAATTTTTAAACAGTTTGTGTACACCTATTTATAATGTTTGAAAGGGTTAGAGAAAGAGATAGAATCAGTAAGAGTTGATCGTTAGAAAAAGAAAAGAAAATTTTATCATGGCGGTAATTTAACAGGAGAAGCAGTACTTTCGGATCGTACCAAATTAACCAAACTATTTATAGTTTGTCTACGGTTTTCACTTATCCGAGAATTCAAAAAACTTGACAACGAAACATTTAATAGTTATTATAATTTCATTTAATAGTTATTATAACCTTACTTCGTTGTCAAGTTTTTTGAATATATTTGTATTTTGATTGGTCATTCCAGCTCATGTAACAAGCGTCTCCCCTTACGAAAGGTGGTTAATTAATTTGAACCTTTTAAACCCTTTCTTCTACATTCAACATCATCACTTGATAAGACACCAGATTGTTGAAACAAAATAGCTTTTTTTGTTTGTGATTTTATAGCATATTTATGTTATAATTTTAAATAAATAATTATATATATATATATATATATATATATATATATATATATATATATATATATATATAGTTTATGCAAATTTAGGTAATCCCGTATGGGTAGACCTGGAGGAGGATGATATCCAGAGAGCTCAATGTGAAATTCAGAGCAGATATGTTTGAATAAAAAGACAGACCACGTTAAGATTCCATGTAATAAGCTATTTCACCATAACCCTTTAACAGGGTTCTGGATCATCGAACTTTACTTCCAAAGCTGAAATGAAAAATGAAAAAAATTCACACATTTCTGACGGACCTCATCAAGTATACGTAAAATTAACGGAGCGAGGGGTGAGGTGGGAGAGAAGATATGAGTATGTCATATGTATCATTTCAATTTCCCTATTTTTTAACCCCAGTGTGTCGGCTAGATGTTGCTCAAATTTAACGGGTCTCGTCTCTAGACATAGATGGCTAAGGGGTGAATGATAAGAACGACATTAAAGGAAGAAGTTACAACAACCACAATCAATTACACGACATGTTTCATTCAAATTCTTAGACGCTGTTAATTCGCGTTACTTTAACGTGCATATTTGGGAGGTTAAGGTTTGATAAATATCTAAATGAAAACAATCTACGAAGAAATTAATTTGAAATTCGGTGGAGTTTTGGGTATTTTCTATGAAACAGTCGATTGGAGAAATTCATAGACAGAACATTGAAAGAGTAATAATATAAGTTTTTTAGAGAGTGGATCTTATAAATATTGATATCGGGAATAACTTTAAGACTTACATGCTCGGTCATTCTGACGAATTAAAGAGTTTACCTGAAGAAAGAAATTCAAAGTTTTAAGATTGGTTAATATAACAAAGAATATCGATTTATGAATGCGACCATCATACTTACCTATAGTTGGGAATTGCTTCTTACCGACTTCCAAAACATTGTACATATTTCCGTCTGATAGATTCTGACTGATGAATCAATTAATAATTTCACTGTCATGACTGAAGTGTTTGCTATCCAATAACTGCACTTATGATTAAAGTTTTCACAGGCTGAGATCGCATTTACCATTTCCACCATTCAAACAAAGATTGGACTGGAACAAAAGTTTGTGACCTTTTCCGTAGGTGGCGGTCCTGACACGCGTTTTCCTTTCACACGTAACTGAAATATATGACATACAAGGCGCGATGGATAAATTGTCGTCTAAATTATGCAACAATGAAAATAGCGCTGACATCTCACGAGATATTCACCAAAATTACACAAAAAAATATCTTGAAATACTAAAGAGTAAATTTATTGAATAAAATCGCCATTGGCTTCAAACACGGCACTCCAGACGACTTCGGAATCTCTTGCACATCTTCTGGACGTTCTCCTCAAGTTGGCGAATGTTGCCATAATTATTGCTTCATTTCGTCCTTGGCATTACAAGGAGTTTTGTTGTACTCTCTCTCAAATGAACGCCACACATAATAATCAAAGGGGTAGTCTGTGGTGTTAGGTGGCCAGATGTAAGGATTGATATGCTTGCAGAAATTGTCTGATAGCCATGACATGGCTTCCTGCTTGTGTGGCAGTGTTCAGGGTCCTGTTGCCAGATATAGGGTCTTCCAGCAGCCACCCCCTTAATCCAGGGCAGCAATATCGCCTCCAGGCACTTGATGTAGCCTCCCTCCCCTGCTCGTAGAAAGATGAATGAAAGCATAACGTCGCCATCATTAGTGATCATTCCAAACTTCATGATGTTGACTGGATATTTGGTTTTCATCGTTCTTGGTAATCTTTTGGTGATACAGCAAGCCAACGGTAGTTCTATGTATTCCCCATTTTATCATGGCGGTAATTTTTCTCGCCTGAAAAAAAAAAATCATGTTCGGTTGGAGGAGGTGCTTGGGCTTGTTCAAAAGCTTCGTAGTACAGTCTTCTCTCTTGTCCTTCATCACT